GAGAGATTAATATTGTGACCAAAAGTCTCTGCAGATTGAAACATAATAAAACACATCAGCTCCCTGCAGCCTGTTAACGCCGGCCCTGCACCCACACACCCTGAGGCCCGCTGGTGGCGCTATCCACTCTGCAGAGAAGTGGCATGTGGAGTTCAAACAGTAATAAATAGGAAATTATAAGATAAAAGACAAAAATTATGAGATAACAATTGAAATAATTGTATATCAAAGTCATAATTATAAGTTAACATGTCAAAATTATGCAATAAAAGTCCAAAACCAGAAGATATAATAGTTGAAATTATGTGATAAAGTAACAATTTTAAAATTAAAAAAGGAAATTTATTAGGATAAAAGTAAAATTATGGGCTAAACAGTTGGAATTATGGGAAAAAAAGTCAAATTTATGCATAAAAAGGTAGAAATTATAAAATAGAAGGTAAAATTATGAGATAAAGTGAAAATTGGTTAAGGTAAAAATAGAAATTATAAGAATAAATTAAAAACTATGAGCTTACAAAGTTGAAATGATGCAATAAAAAGTCAAAATAGAAGATAGTGAATATGAAATTTATGGGACAAAAAGTAAAGATTATGAGATATAAAAGACAAATTCTGAGATAAAATAGTCAAAATAAAGATAAAAGTGTGAAATTACTGTATAAAAGTATAATTATAGAGTTACATGGTCAAAATTATGCAATAAATAAGTCAAAACAGAAGATAAAAAGTTGAAATTATGCGATAAAAGTAACATTTTTAAAATAAAAATAGGAACCAAAATCTCTGCAGAGGAGCCTGTTAACACCGCCCTGCACACACACCCTGAGGCCGCTGGGTGGCGCTATCAGCTCTGCAGAGAAAGTGCATGTGGAGTTCAAACAGCCTGTAAAAGTGGAGGAAAACAGGAAACTGTCCCAGGAAAAGGAGAAATCTGGGTGCGTTAGAACTTAAAAAGGACTGGTTTTATTTTATTATCAATGTGCAAATAATGGAATAAAGTGACACAGAATCAAACGCACCTGTCACATGAGGGTCCAGGCTTACTGACGCACACAGCAGGGCGGGGACACCGTAACCCACCTGAGCACAGAGGAGTTAGGGCCAATAATACCTCATTAAGTGATAATAGTGACAATAATCACAGTGCTTACCATCCACACGCCTGCGTCCGGGTCATTGATCTGCAGTGAGACAGTATCGGTGGATTATTGATCCGGATTAGAGAGCTGCAGATCGATCAGCAGCGGTTTCCTCACCTGCACGTAGGTCGCCAGAGAGAAGAATGAAGCCATGAGCAGGTTGCAGACTCTCCAGCTCGCAGGGAGCACAGAGGACCTGCTGTCTCTGCAAACTGCACCCATTGTTGTTTGAGCCGCTCGCCTCCCCGCCCGGGCCGCCGGCACGTAAAGGACGAGGTTAAGAGACAGTGTCATTAAACTGGGAGGGTTTGTTTGATATTTACTGACTTCTGCATGCAGCAGTTCACAGATTACATACAGACACACGACCCCCCCCCGCCCCCCCCTTTTATTTTAAACTTGATTTAGGCCCGAAAAGCATCTTTGCAGGAGGATGCGGTGCTTATTGCGGTAACTGCAGGTTTTATAAACGTCAGCGGGATGTAACTGCGGTTATAATCCTGTTTTTTATTCGTCCTCACAGAAGTTTCAGGTGATGTGGGATTCAAACCTCACACTCGTCTCTGTTATTGAGCTGCAGTGGATTAAGTCCCGGACCTTTTCCCTCCGGGCGGCTCCGCGCAACAAAACGAGCGCACATTCTCCACGACCGCAGTGACGTCAAGGTGACGCGACTTCCGTTAGTTATTTACAAAATAAAATCACTAGTGACAGCTTATTATTAAAAGGTTTTTTTTTTATAGCTTGGAAATAAATTGTTATCGGATCTATACTTTATACTTTTAAAATATTAATTAAATATTTGAAATAATTAATTGTATTTAAAATATTAATTAAATAATTAAAAATAATTAATTGTATTTAAAATATTAATTAAATATTTAAAATAATTAATTGTATTTATATTAACTATTATTACACATGGTCAGATTTATTTTATTTTATTTTATATGAACTATTATTACACACGATCAGATCATAAAGCGACAAACAACCAACAGCTAAAAACAAGAAGATTATATTTAAATGAAGGTGTTTATTATTAAAAATATACATTAGGCAGTTTTTAATGTATCATACAGAAATGTATTTATTTCATGTTGTTAACCTCCCATATGTTTAACTGTTTGAATCTTTGTTTTTCTTTTTCACCATTATTATTATTATTATTTCATACAATGTGACACTAACAGATATACTGTCAGGTATGCAAGCTATTCAGAATCAGAATCTGAATCAGAAATACTTTATTGATCCGGGAGGAATTTTGTTTCGTTACAGTTTTTTCAAGGTGCTCACAAGACATTAAAGAAATAGAAATAATTATGTTAAAAATATGTATTATATTACAATATTTAACAACAACATATATAGAAAATATAAATAGAAAAATATAAAAAGAATATAAAATAAAAAATAAGAAATTTAAAATATAATAAGAGTCTAAGTATGTTTCTTATTCTATTCTCATTATATCTTGTATTTTTCTATTCTACTTTTATGTAATGTGTATTTTGTTATCTGCTGTGTGGAATCAATAAAGTCTCTATCTCACATTACAATACAGTATTTGACTATATAAATTATTTGTATTGTTCCCTTATTCTTTTTATGTTTTACATTGTAAATACAGAGAGATAAAAGATAAAACTGCTGTCCCAATCCAGCTCCACAAAAAGACTCAAAAACTCTTTCAGACTGTACAACAGCTCTCAGTAAAGGCAGGGAGGACAATAGATAATGGACAATGTCTACCTCTATTTGTACTGTTTACTGTAGCTACTGTTAATTTAGATATATATATATATATATATATAATACCGATCCTGCCTGGATCGACTACAAGAAAG